TTGGATTAGGTTGTTCAAATGTCCTCAATCCGATCAATCCAACCCATTAGCACCCCTACCTTTCAGCCAATCAAACTCTATAAATATAAATATAAATATAAATATAAATATAATATTGATATTGATGTTGTAGTGGAAACAAAATTTGGTGAGGCAAATTCAATGAACCATAAATGAATGATTGAAGCCAAAACGTACAAGTAACCTTCAATAAGGTACAACCATTAATGCATATAAAAGCAAAATGACAATTATACCCTCAGAGAGTGATGTTGGTAGAGCAAGATCTTTTTTTTGGTATTATCTTTCCTCAACAACACTTGTGTTTTTTTTCTTAAAACCCATAATTTTTTTAAACCAATAATCATTTAAAACGTTTTTATGAATATAATATAATATAATATTAAATTTCAAATATGATTATTATTTTTAAATATTTTCTTGATTTTTTTTTAATTAAAATACTAGTTTAAAAATGCTTTATATATAAGGCTATTCGTATAATACAGTGAAATATATCTTAATTTTAATATTTATTTTTATTCTTTATCTCTGTCGATGTTATTTAACACGATTTTATATGGTTTTGAAAAAATAATAATATTTTTATGTTTGAATAAAACATAAATTTGAAGATCCCATAAAAACTTGAAAAAAATATCGATATTATAATCAAATTAAATATTTAAATTTTCTTGTTTTTTGTGTAATTTTCTTTAATTGGATTTATATTATAATTTAATAATGAAGTGATTTATTTTCGGTTAATGATATAATTTTTTTTATAAAGATAATAATTAAATATTCTTTTAAATGTTAATGATTATCCTAATTATATTTTTGATTTTTTATATTAAAAATGAGATGTTTATTCTATATTTGATTATATTTATTTGTAATTAGTTACACAACTTTAAAATAAAGCTTTAATAAGTTGTACTTACGCATAATTTATTTGTAATTTCGAATTTAACATAAAAAATGATTTTTAATTTTTTTTATTAAATGCTTTATAATATAAAACAAAATAAAGTGTTTATTTTTTCATACACGGTTTTTTTAAAAGGTAAAATGGAAATAATAGAGAACAAAATAGACAACAAGCTCTACGAGAAACACATCTATAAAAAACCGCAATCAAAATCACAGCTTGCAAAATATGTTTTACTGAGACTATAATATTATTACCTCCCTCGGAAAGGAGCAATTGTGAAACTGAAGACGATAGGGTGGATTTGGTACGGTACCGAGTATTTTCTCCAATACCGTGTACGTACCAACCAATTATAATTATAAATAAAATCTTATATCATGTACCAACCAATAGTACTTGATGCCATCCTTTTGTGGTTGCTAAATGTTGGTACTGGTTCTAGAATACCAATTACAGATTACGTAAATGAAAACTTGCACTTTTGTTTAAATTTAGAGTCACATTTTGAGTTAATAGGTAACACATGTAATGTTTATTAATTGTATGGAATAAAACTTGCAAATATTCAGATGTCCTATAAGAATTGAAGTTGCGATATTTAATATTCAATACATCAAAAATATAAAAAAAAACTAATAAATAATTAAACAAATCGAGACTTCCAATATCGTATACTAACAAAGTTTGTATACTTGGTAAGATACTACAAACGATGACAATTGATATTAATTTAACTAATCTATACTATATTATAAAGCATTTGACAAAAACTCTTAAAAACAATTTTTTATGCATAAAGTAGTGTTTCTTAATGCGTATTACTTAAAATTTAAGATTACAAGTAAATTGTGCATAAGATTTTGAATTCGTATAACTAACTGCAGATAAATATAATCAAATACAGGATAAATATCTTATTTTAAATATAAAAATTTCAAAATATAATTAAGATAATCATTAAGATCTAACAAAATAATTATCTTTATAAAAAATTATATTGTTAAACCCAAAAAATAAAT